CCCCCCAACCCCTCTGGCCCCACTTGCACCCCCATTCTCACCCCCGGCGCCGCCGTTGGCTGACCCTCGAAACGGAAATGGCAAAAAGCACGGCTCTCCCCTTCCCCTCACCCTCCTCAGGGAACTCTCTCTCTCTCTCTCTTTCTCTCTCTGCGCGCATCGCCCCCGAGGAGGCGGGCGAAGAGAACAGTCTGCGCTGACAAATCGGCCGGCCAGCGGCACCTGCTGGTCGGACCAGGCCTGGAACCGGGCGCGATATCTAGAGCTGCAAATCTGGCTTGACGGGCGGCACTTCCCGCGTACACTGCGTGGCCATTTGCACCAGTTTTGGACTCAAGAGAGATATACATTTTCCGAAAAAGAGTTCAAGAAAACGTTGTCTTTGTTTTCAAAATATGTAATTTCTTCAACAATCTTTTATCGTCAGTCGTGTTTTCAATGGGAAGGTTATTTGGGACGCACCTGCAACTGCTCTGCCGGTCCGATGCCTGACAGCTGAAGGATCTGCGGCGAGTGGATGGCCCCCGCAGTCAGCACCACCTCCTTCCTGGCCCTGACGACGCGCACCTGCGGACAAACGAGTGGCGTGCGTGGGTCAGGTTGGTATGGTCAGGATGGGGACGCGACCAAAGTGCGCACCTGCCCGGCTGCGTTCCTGTACTCGACCCCCACGGCCGTCGGCTTGGCCTTGTCGAGCTGCTCGAACAGGACCCGGGTGGCCTTGGCGAACGTCTCGACGAACAGGTTGGGCCTGCCGAGGGCGGGGAGGAGGTAGCTCCTGTGAGGGGTGAGTGGAGGGTCATTAGGCCGTAGAGGCGCGGACGGCAGGAGGCTTGAGGAGGAAGGGGGAAGGGGGTCAACAAGCACCTGTACGTGCTCCATCGCTCGCCGTCCCTCGTCGACGTCTGCACGAAGGAGTGGCCCAGCTGCGACTCGCCGTTCACGTCGTGGCGGTAGGGCACCCCGGCGGCCTCCATGGCCTCGGCCACGGCCTGCAGCGAGGGGTGGCGGTAGGGCTGCCAGGACGCGGGCTGGGGGCCCGCGCGGGAGTGGTACTCTGCGTATGGCGGAGGAAACTCTCTGAGATAATCTCTCCAAATTAGGGGCCGCGAGCGGGGGGCTGCAGGCTCCCTGGTGGGCCGGCAGCCTCCAGCCCGGCCTGACCTCGGCTGAGGGGGCCTTGTGGGCCTCTGCGGCGCCACGCTGCGCCACGCTGCGCCTCACATGCAGATTTATGCGTCCCCGGGCGCCGAGGCCGCCGAGGCCGAGGCTCGGCCGCGCCTAAAGTTGCCTCATCTCGTCCTCCTCACCCGACTCCCGCGTCGCGACGGCCGGGTCCTGGTTGTTCTCGGCGCTCTTGAACACGGCCAGCATGTTGGTGGAGTTCCAGCCCGCGTCGCCCGTGGCCTCGGCCCAGTCGTCGTAGTCCACCGAGCTGCCCCGGATGAACATCATGCCGTTGACGGCGGAGCCGCCGCCCAGGACGTAGGGCACCGGGAAGTGGCAGCCCGTGCCGTTGCAGTTCTGGGGCTCCGGCTGGGCCTGCGGGCCACGCGTGCCGTTCACACAACCGCAGCAGCTGAACACCCCGCTGGTAAAACACGCTCTCACCTTGATGTACTCCGCCGTGTTGCCCATCAAGACGTACGTCAGGAAGCCCGGCACCCTGGCCTCCGGCGGCTCGGTGCCGCCGCGCTCCAGCAGCAGCACGCTGACGCCGGGCTCCTGCGACAGCCGCGCCGCCAGCACGCAGCCCGCCGTGCCGCCGCCCACCACCACGAAGTCGTACTCCTCGTCGTGATCCTGGCTGCGCAGACGCGCCTGCTGTGCCTGGAGGTGCTCGCGGTCCAGGCGCGCGTTGATCACGCTCACGATCACGCCGAGGAAGGAGGCGAAGGTCGAGCCCGAGGCGGTGTCTCGGCAGCCGTGCCCCATCGGGATCGTGTGGTGCGTCGTGAAGAGGGACATGGCGACGACCACGAGGAAGAGGAGGCGCTTGCTCGTCTAGTCCGCTGCACACATTAAAACAGGCCACTGAAATGATCAAATCTCGGCTTTCGCCTCATTTGACGTCATTTTGACAAACACCTGTCAACGCGCGCGCGGGGTTTGGGATTCGATCCACTGACCTTAGAAAAACAACTCCCCCCTTGACGGGGGCGCTGTCACTCTGCTAATTACCCTCTCACCGAGCCACCTCCGCCCTTCAGTCAACACTATCACCCTTCTGGAGTAGTGGGCATAACGGACCAGCCATGGCGGGGCGGGGCGGGGCGGGGCGGGGCGCGGCGGGCTGCCGAGAGCGACGAACAAAGAGAGATCGGAGACGGGACACAAAGGGGAGCGGGAGGGGTGGAGAGGAGGGGTTAGGGAGGCTCCCGATGACGCGCCGCCGGAGCACTTAGGCCCCCCTTGTGCTCGCCCTTCAGGGGCCGCGGCAAGGCCGGGCCGGGCCGGGCCGAGCAGGGCGCGGGGTTACCGAGATAAGGTTCGATTACGCCGGGGTGGGGCACCGGGCACTGGGGCAGGGCACACGAGGAGGCACACGGGAGAATAAATGTTTGCGCTTCATGCAGTGCAGACAGCCTCCCGCCACGGCTGGCCTCGCCCGGGCCTCGCCTCGCCTCGCCCTTGACCTTGTCCAGCTTGTTTGTTGGGCCGACACGTTGCCGTCCCTCGCCTGGCCTCGCCTAGCCTGGCCTACTGGAGGCAGACATGCAGGGCAGGTCAGTGGGCTGTGAGGTCACGAGGCCTCTCCAGAGCAGGCGAGGCCCTCCAGCAGTGATGGAGCGCTGCTCCAGGGGCTCCACGGGCTCCGGCCGCGCCTCGCGCCTCGCGCCCCGCCCCACCCAGCCCACCGCTCTCGAGCGGCCGCCTCCCGAGTTAGCAACTGCATAGAAAGAGAGGATGAACCTCACCACGGGTCGAGTCGTTTCAAACCGCTTCGATTAACACGTTCAGTGCTCACAAAATGCACAATTTCATATTTTTTTTAAAAGTCGTGTTACCTTTGTTATGTACAAAAAGAGTTGACACACTCCGAGGAAGTCGCCGGGGAAACCGAGAGTGGACAAGAGAAAACCTTGGGAGAGACTGCACTCCCAGAGACCGACGGGGACGTGTCTGGGTGGGGGACTCGCCCCGGCGGGACCGGCGGGGACGTGACCGGCACGAAGCACGCTCCTCCGTCACTGGCGAGAGCGTGACCGCTCACACCTATCGGGTAGCCGATTCGCCTCGATCACTTACTCGCCGCTCTGGGTGGGTTCACCTGCCGTCTCTGACAGGACAGACGCCTCGCGGCGGGAGCGAGTCGGCAGCACGCCCGCACGATGGAATTCGGCACACGGTAGTCTACCCAGGACATCACGAAAAACACGGCCTTGCTGGACAGACATGGGACAGAATTATTTTTCATGATAATGTGCGCACCACCGGACAAATCGAGCTGACCTGCTCCTCCGTTTATGAATGCGTTGTGATGTGTGCCCAGGGGGTGGGGTGGGGGTGGGGCTATCACCGCGCAGTCGGAGCTCCGCAGAGGCTGGGCTGGCGGGGCGGGATCCAGTAACCCGACCGGGCCGGGAGCGTGACGCAAACTTTCCTCAATAACGGCAGCAGCAGCAACGTCAGCGAGGCGGGTCGGGGTAGGGGGTGTGTG